GAAAAGCAGCACATTACTTAAATGGAGAGAGATTGCAGGACTCTGAGGGTTGAAGAGATCTAGGTGTTCTGGTATGTGAATCACAACTTTAGTATGCACGTACAGCAAGTGATTAGGAAGACAAATAGAATGGTGTGTGGCATATTGCGAGGGGAAAGAAATATTAAAAAATGGGGGGAATCTTGCTAGTTTTAGTTATACATCTAAAGTATTGTGAGCAATTTCATCTCTTTATTTAAGATAGGACATAATTACATTTGAAGTGATTCAGAGAAGGTTCACTAGACTGATTTCTAGGATAAGGGGAATTATCTTTCAAGGAATGGACAGACAGATTAGACTTGTAATTAGAAGTTTAGAAGAATTGGAGGCGATCTTGTTGAAATGTACAAAGATACTGAAAGGATGTTTACCATTGTGGAAGAGAGCAGAATGAAGGGGCAGTTTAGACAAAAAAGGGGTCTCTCATTTAAGCTGGAGAGAAACAGAATTGTTTTTCCTTTCAGCAGATCAGCCGCCTGTGGAATTCTCTTCTCACAGTGTAATAAGAGCACGGAAGATGGAAGTCTCAAGTATCTAGGGATTTGCGGAGCTTGCCCAGCAATTCATTGAATTTATCAAATGAGCAAATTAGGTATTCTGATCAAGACAACACTAGGTTTGAATCCTATTTGACGTGAAGTAACTGATTTCTGCTTGGTTGCTTGTATGATTGCAATATTCGGTCTCAACATCTAAGTAGATTGAGTTGTTGAGTTGAGTGAGCTGTCGGTATCTTGGAGTCAGTTGTAAGTTCAGGGCAATTTGGGAATGCATTCCAAAGGTTCTGGAGACTTAATAGACATGGGAAAATTTATAAACAGTCCAAAAGGCCAGTAAACAGAATCTGGCCCATACTGACAGTTGCTAGAGGTTGGCAATTTGGAGGGCATTATATCACACACATTGTGGAGGATGTGGCCCAAGAGAATGGATTCAAACTGCCATCAGATATCAATCTATTTCTCCTACTGTGTCCATTTTTGTACCCTCTGGTGTCTTGCCACTATTTTCCATATTGTCAAATCATTTCTGCCATTACATTTTTGTTTTAACTTGAAGACAAAAAAAAACTACAGTATGTTATTTATTGGAAAAATCACAGCCTTGGGGTATTCCAAACATACAACAGAAGCACAATTTAATGCACTGAAAGTACAGTGTTGGGACGTACAGTTTCCATATGAGGCACCCAATCAGCAATGAAACTTAGATAACATTTGTGTCACATGCAGAACATCTTTTTGGCTTCTCAGCAGCCTTGTGATAGTGCAGAATAGTGTTACGATAGCTTCATCTTTAATAATTTTTGTGGACTTCAGTTTGAAGGATTGTGGGGATACCTGGATTTTCTTTTTACTAAAAGATCAAAAGACATTAGAACTTTTTTTTAAAACGACATTCCTTGGTCCACATGGTTTCAGATAATTGTTGAACTTTGTTGCTTCACTTCATTTCATTTCAGGAAAAACACCTAACTGATTTAATGACTGTATTTTATGGTTGTTCTGTTTGAATTGTGTTGTGCAGACTTGGAGATGGTTTTAGATTTTCAGTTGGTGAGGGGTAAGCCTGCTACAGAGCAATCTTCTCAGAGTTGTATAGCACGGAAACAGACCCGTTGTTCCAACCAGTCCACACCGAACATAATCCCAAACTGAACTAATCCCACCTGCTTGCGTTTGGTGGCTATCATTCCAAACCTTTCCTATTCATGTACTTATCCAAATATCTTTTAAACAATACAACTGTGCCCACCATCTTGTGCCTCCTGTTTCTGAAGTGCCATTATGGTGAATTCAGCCTGAAACCTAACTGTCCTCTTGAAAAGCAACTAGAAGAATTCTTAATACTGTATTTCCTGAGCAAGCTGCATCTGCCAAGATCCCAGAAGCAACTGCTTATGGTAGGTGGCACATCTACACATGCCAGAATATCAGGCTGACAGCCATCCAAAAATCTCAATCCTTATCCATTTTGTCTTCAACAACGAAGGCTTATTGGCCAAAAAAAGTGTTTTTCCCATAGTTAATTTCTGTAGAATTTCTGTGTGTTAGTTTGTATGTGTTTTGGGTAACTTAGAGGAATAAACATTTATATTTTTACGTTGCAGATTAAGTATGTTGACCACTTTGCTTGTTCATTAAAATAAAGTAGTTTGGTTTTATAATAAAATCAATAATTTTGCATTTGTTGAAAGAAACCCAGTGCCATCTAATTTAGCGAAAGCATACAATCTGTCATATTGGGAACTTGGTGAAACATTTAAATTTATATCATGAACTGCAGAATATAGTGGAACTGGAGAAAGACAGTGCACCTCCTTTCATCTTGATCATAAAAATATCACTTTTGGGTTTACTGTAAAGTAGCAGCACGAGATGGCTAGCTCAAATGTTTGAAACTCGTTCCCCTTCCAGCTAATTCGAAGTAATTTGGATATCTTTCAGGGTCAAAAGTGGAGGTCTTAGGCACTTTCAAAATAAGTATTTTTAAAAGAGACTTTAAAAAATCCATCAGGTGTATCTTGACATTTTAAATGAATTAACAGGAAGCTCTAGATTTACAAATAAAAATATTAAATCCATGTGTTTCTACAAGTTCCTGAGAGAGAATCTCTACACAACAGTTAAAGATCACGAAAGAATTGCAAGGCAATAACAGAAAAGTATTCAAACAGTGGGAATTTGGAAAACCCATTTTCCCTAGAAAAATTAAGTAAACTTATTTCAAAGAATAAAGTGACACATACTCCATCAAAAAGGTAAACCATTTTTGCAGATTTGCAGTCTCATTTTTTACGATACTGATTGTAATAATCAAACAGTATAAAAAGTGTATCAATTCATTAATAGTGCCCTGTATTACGAAGAAATATTTTAGTTGAAGCACACAATAAAACCAATGTGTGAAATTACCAATTGTAATTTAAAAGTGCATCTTGAAATATGACAACTGAAATAAAGCATCTGTGACCCAGCTCCCCCAGGAGTGTATACACGAAGGTGTGAAAGTGTGGCTTAGTCCATCATTATGTAAACTGTTCAACAAACCAGACTCTAGTATTATTCAACTGCATGAGCAGTCGGTGGGTCAACGTAACTGTGTTCACTAAATGGTCATCAGCAAACAAAAAGTTACTTAGCTAATCATATGAGTTTTCACAATATATTCCCAAGAATTGGCTGCCCAGCCACAAGAATTACAATCAGCACCACAATTAGAATATATATGGGTATAGGCTGTGTGTATACATTCTCTTCATATCGCCTGTTCTTTTCTTTTGTAACAAAGATAAAATGGTTCACTATAAGGAAGTTGCTAGAATTTGATTTTACTAATGTGAAACAGTTTTCTTACAAGGTAAGATGGAAGAGTTATTTTCAGACTGTGCTTCTGGCATTGAGCCCTGTGATCAGAAACTCAAACTGTGCAAAGTCAGAATATTACATTAGTTTTTAAATATGGGAGCTAAGCGAGAATTCTAGAATGATTCCAACAACAACGCAGCGAACTATAAATGAATTTATCATCAGGTCTGGCAGCATCTATGAAGAAAAAAATCAGAGTTAATGTTTTGGGTCTGGTGACCCTTCCTCGGAACTGGGGAAGGGTCACCGGACCCAAAACGTTAACTGATTTTTTTCCTTCACAGATGCTGCCAAATCTGCTGAGCTTTTCCAGCAACTTTGTTTCTGCTCCTGATTTACAGCATCTGCAGTTCTTTCGGTTTTTATAAATGAATTTTGTTTGCAATAATATGTCTCTTTCAAATACAAAATATTAATTTCAGATAATATAATCATCTATGATAATAACTAGCATACTAATTAGTAATCAGGTGAATGATTGCTAGACAGTACAGAGAGAATCCAACTTATCTGAATTGATTATTCATGCAAAACATAAAAATAAAACTGCATTGTTATTACAGGTTTATAATCATGTAATTCACCAAAGCAAATAAACCAAAAACAAGTTTATCACATCAACTTCTCTAACAAATATGTTCATGTATTGAATCCAATTTTGAACATAAAATGTTGATTCAAATACTGGATGAACAATTCTTAATATTTGGGGTCTGAGATGCTCCTAACAGTAAAATCGAGCAAACACACCTAAAGTATATTGTCCATAGAAAACATTACTCAAAAAGCAGATACTGACCAAAATGCTGCATCTTAATTTTCACCTTGCTTGTATAGATTTGTTTTTGACACCATGTAGAACAGACTAATTGTAATTAGCTCTTAATGATACTTGACAAAATCTATTCAACTAGAAACAATGTACTTTTTACTTTATTAGTAAAACACTTTTTAAATCATCTCCATTCTTAGTTTTCATCTTGATATCTGAAAGGGCAATTCTTTTTTCTACTCTATCTTTTCTTTTGCATCATTCTCACGAAGAGCGTCCCCTGTACTTTGACCACGTTCTCGATGAGCATCAACAATAGTCTTAAACACAACAACTCATTATCACATTTATCACTTAATAGTATACTGCTTTATTCATCAAATTGTTGGGAGTTGATGGGAAAGACTAGAGCAAAAACAAAGTTGCTGGAAAAGCTCGGCAAGTTTGGCAGCATCTGTGAAGGAAAAAACAGAGTTAACCTATCGGGTCCAGTGACCCTTCCTCCGAACAGGTTCTGACCCGAAACGTTGAAGGAAAAAAACCCGATAGGTTAACTCTGTTTTTTCCTTCACAGATGCTGCCAAACTTGCTGAGCTTTTCCAGCAACTTTGTTTTTGTTCCTGTTTTACAGCATCTGCAGTTCTTTCAGTTTTTATTTGGAAAGACTACAGCAACTACTTAAAGTATCTTTCGACTGGAATTAGATATGCAGAATTTTTTAAGAGGACAAATTAGCAATAACCCAGGCTACTGCATGTATCAAATCTCATTTAGTTCGAAAAGGGGAATGTTAGAATTTAAATAATAAAAAAACTCACCTTATCACTGTCTTCATTGAAAGGGGGGTCACATGGACTTGGGTGATAGGGAAATGAAGGAACCATGCCACCTATGAAGTTAGACAATACCAATGAGTAAAATGGCAGCAAAATTCAACTTACACATTATAAATTCTAAGAAAATAACAATCATATAATTAATCCACATAATGCAATTTAATGGCCTTTAATAAAGAGCAAATTTAAATACCAGAGTCCCTCATTTAAGTATGACCAATGGCCTTCCATCTGTCTTAAGTTTAATGAGTCTTAATCATAATAGAAACCGTGAAATTAAAATGTACAGCAATAGCGAAGAAAAAAAAACACAAACTAGGAATAATCTGAAACAGAATCAGAAATGCAGACTGAAAAAGAGACAGAACCTTATAAGAGGCAGACCTAAAACTAAAGGTGAAAACAAATGACAAGCAACACATGCAAACATTCTATACAAAAGAGGTCATTCAACAGAGTGCACACCTCCAGCACACTATCATATCTTAATGTTGTTATTTCTACAGCTCCTCCTCTTTATTAAGAGCTTCCATCATACTGAGGAAGCTTTAGGCCATCCCACACCCAACAATCTGTTCCAAAATAGTCTGTTCACATTTTGGCAGCTATGACAAATTGCATCACAGCAAACCAGACAATCCAAAACACTCAACAATATTTGAAATAAAACAAGCCACATCACAATTATGAAAAAAGTCAACTCACCCTACTCGTCAATGCTAATGGATAATTCCATTAAAAAGTTCCAGGATCTGAATTGCATCTTTACAAGAATTCATAAGTTTACTTTGCAAACCAAGTTTTGTTCAAATCTGTCAATTAGCTTTTAAGATATATTGATAGCAGTCAGACTAACAAACGGGGCAAAACATTACCATTTCCCACTTTTCGTAGTAGAGGTAATAAATAAAGATTTAACCATTATAGCATAACAGCGATGTCTAAAACAATTTCTGTGGAATTTAATAATTCATTTATGCAATAATTGAATTTGAGATATCCTTAATATATTTTTGGGTTGGCTTCTTTCAAAAATAAACTTGTGAATGTCAACTTTGAAGTATTCTACCTATTTAATGCCTACGAACATTAGTTTATCCATCTGTAAACAATATTTCTCAAAAACTAGTATTTATATATATATTTCTGGAAAACAATAGAGAGATAGGGGGTAGCCCAAGGAAGAACTGAATAATTTTTTAGCAAAGATACAGATTCAGATCTGGATCTTGTCCTTTTTTCAAAAAAAAATTAACATTCAGAAATAGGGTGAATTGATTTTTCCTAAAATGCAGTGGGCTGCTTAATTTCAAGATGTTGAAAGTTTGTGTGTTGTGGATTGCCTAGGTTCTTCCAGCTCCAGTGTTATCTCTGACTCTAGCATCTGCATTTCTTACTACCCCTTGTGGATTGCCTAGCTTCTCTCGCATAATTTGTCACAGCTATCAAAATTTGAAGAGTTCTCAGAACCAGTTGTTGGATGTGGTTTGAGCATCAGCTTCCTCAATGAGATGTTAGTCTTAAAGCCAATGTCCTTAATTTTAAAAAAACTCCAGCTTTTGTAGTCACAAAACAAATGTACATGAAATTTGGATGGTATAAAAAATGAATGCTGGTAAGGCAAAACCTCAAAAAGAGCAGCATAACTGTAATAATATTAACACGCCATGGCAGAGGAATGCACCGATCGACTTTCCTCTTCACTTGTTTTACACAAGTATTTCCCGTGCAAGGCATTTCCCATCTATATTTTAGCCATTTTGGAGCTAGCAATTAATTAGTTGTGTTGCTTTCTAGCAAGATTTTTGCCCATAGCTAAATAGTTGAATTAAGTTACATTTTCGCAGTGAACATAACAAGACTATTAAAAGAGACTTTTGCCAGTTATTTATGTTCTTCAAATCTTTCACAATATAAGGGGCTTATTATTGAATACCCAAATGCTAGAGACATATTTCTCAAAGAAAGTGTGTTTTGGAGGAGGGCTTACAGCACTGAAAGAGTTTACTAAAATAAGGATGGTAAAGCTATGAACACATTAAAATATAGTTCATCATTCTATTTTATTCATTATTACTCAGTAGTTTGACAAGGTGACTGTTCAGTTCAATAGAACAGCTGGATTTCTCTCATCTTCACCATTAGCCATTTCATTGAAAAAATTCAAGCCCCGCTGATGCAACATTATAAATGTTTGTATTGGAAAAGCATGTTACAGGTTTGATTCAGTAAGTCTGCAAAGGAAATGCTATGTTCAAGCTGAAAAGCAAAGTGACTTTGTGTAGCTGCCACAAAAACAGAAGTTGCTGGAAAAGCTCAGCTGGTCCGGCAGCATCTATGAAGAAAAAAAAATCAGAGTTAACGTTTCGGGTCCGGTGATCCTTCCTCAGTGCAGTGTAGAGCTGATGGCATTACAATGGCAGCAATGACAGTACACTAAATTGAAAGAACTACATATAAATCACTATTGCACCGGGGAGGTGCGTTTAGAGCCTTTCATGCTGAGAAGAGGGGAGGTGAAATGGCAGGTAACATCACCTATGCTTGCATGGAACGTTGCAGAGGGTTTGTTGGGAGATCAAGGAGTGGACTGGGGTCGCACGGAGGGAAGTGAGATTCCCGAGGATTAAAAGGTAAGGGGAGAGAACGATAAGATGCGTTTGGTTGTAACTGGAGGTGATGAAAATGGAGGAGAGGATGATCCATTCAATAATGAAGGCTGCTGGGGTGGAAGGGAAGGATAGAGGGAACCTTATCACAGCTCTAAGTGTGCAGGGAATGGGAAACAGCAAAAGTATAATGCAAAAGAAGACATGTAGTCGAAGGCGCTGTCAGTCACAGTGGGAGAAAAATTGTCAGTTGAGGAAAGATGACTACATATTGTTATGGTCCCAACTGATGTTACTACTGGATGAGTCAGATCCCAGAATGAAATCTGGCTTGATAGATATCTTTTCTTTACTGTGGCAGTCTTTCACTGAAACATAAACATCCAATGTTGCAGATTTGCTTCCAACAATAAAACAGGTTTATTAAACAAGAGGAACAAACAACAATAAACATAATGTAGTTTGGAAGATTTCATAACACATAGCTAAATGAAGTCCCAACCACTTCCCAATGCCATCATTTTACAGTTACTCAAAAAAACACAAAATTTTCTTCCCTGTCCAATCCACTGGTTAACTTAACTTGTTCATGGAGTTGTTTCCTTGAATCCTCACACTAGTGTTTAGGTGTTCT